CTTTCCCTCTCTCCTCTCTTTCTCTTCTCTTTGTCAAGCCCCACAGGGCTTGCCACTCATGGGTGAGGGTTGGGGGACCGCCAGCCGACTGCTGCCGCCGCCGCTGCCGCCGCAGCCACCCGGCCCGTTGCCGTTGCCGCCGCCGCAGCCGAGCAGCTTGTTCCCGCCGCCGCCGCCGCCCAGCTCGTTCCCGGCATCACCCCGGCCTGCGGAGCTCCAGGTATGGCCCTCCCCCCCTCCCTTCCATTTTGCTGGAATACTCCAATAAAAGAAGCTGGAAAAGCCATTCCTCATGTCTGGTAGTCTTTATTGGCTTTGGCATCAGGCTAGGACCTATTTTGGGTGCAACAGTAGGACCTTCATAGTTTTCATAAACAGGGCCTATCATTAGCCAGAATGAGATAGGGACATTTGGCCAGCTAATAAAGATGGTCCTTGACTTACAACCATTTTTAGTGACTGTTCAAAGTTACAGCAGTACTGAAAAAGTTACTTATGACTGGTTTTCACACCTATGACTATTTGCAGCATCCTGATGGTCACATGATCAAAATTCAAGTGCTTAGCAACTGGATTATATTTATGGCAGTTGCATTCTCCCTAAGTAATGTGATCACCATTCCCAACTGGCTTATGACAAGCAAATCAATGGGGGAAGCCAGATGTGCTCAACAATCACATGATTCACTTAACAACTGCAGTGATTTGCTTAACAACTGTGGCAAAAAAGGTTGTAAATTTGGGCAAAGCTCATTTAACAACTGCCTTACCTATTAATGGAAATTTAAGACTCAGTTGTGGTCGTAAATCAAGGACTACCTATAGCAATTAGATGGGGAACTTAGCACAGAGACTACCCATCGCTTCTAACCTAAGACTTCCTCAGGATTTTAGGAGCAGGCACCTGGTATTAATAGAAGAGATCTGTAGCTCAGGGTTGAACTGTGGAGTCCTTGTTGCTCTCTTAGCTTGATTGTTTTCCTACAGACTTTAGATGCATCTTCATATAGTTGGGTAATAAAACATCTGCAAGAAAACAATCAAGCTCAGAGGGCACTAAAGACTCCACAAACCTGATGCCTCAAGTAGCAAATTGTCTTGGGCAACCCCTGATTGAAAGCCCCGTGTTTGTAAATATAGAAATTAATGCTGCTTGTTGGGTTTTTTGGCTGATTTTTTCTTCTTTTTGCTGCTATATGAGCACAGATGCTCCCATCAGCCATCAATAAATAAATAAAATAAAATAAAATAAATGGTCATTAAACAAACATTGGCATAACTGAGAGATGCCTCGTAAGGTCATTTTGCATTTCATCCCAGTGATGTTGCAAGAAAAGTATGTGTTTCTCTGGGCTGCAATCAATTTGTATCTTTTTTTTCATAGCCTGAAAATTGCTCTAGTGGTGTGCCTATTCATCTGGAAATATTATTTATCCAGTTAACAGTCTTGGAAAGCAGAGTATTGTCTGAGCAAGATGGCCAGGATGATATTTAAGAAACAGAAATTCTAGGCAACAACCATTTGGTGTCCCAAAATCTAATAAATTCATCTTCCTTTGTCCAGAAGAGACTTAGAAGCAGGCTCTGAAGCTAAATACATTCCAGGTCAGACCTGGGTATCACTTCAATATTTAAAACTGGAGAGGAATTTGAGCCTTTCAATGAAACATTAGTCACGTAATAGATCCTGGATTGCCCTTTTAGCAAAAAGCACTCACTTCCTACAGAATTACGAGGCTCCTGTTGGCTGTCTCTGGAGTACTGCAGATAAAAATAATCTTTTGGGGGTGCTTTTAAAAGAAAAAAAGAAAGAGTATGCTTTAACCCGTGGATCCGAGAGACATTTCCTGTGTAACCTCACCATATGATTCCAAAACTCTTAGGAATGCCCAGCTGCTTTCAAAAGGGTTTATTTGCTCTCAGTGCTGTGTTGAGCTTTGCCTCTTTCATCCTGATCCTTGTGGCCATGGGCAGCCAGAAATGGCTGACAGGGAAAATTCTTTGCAAAACCGGTGCTGAGCTGGTCAATGCCACAGACCCCGAGTTAGTCAAGTTCATGGGGGAAATTTACTACGGGCTCTTTGAGGGGCGCAAAATGCGACAGTGTGGACTTGGGGGCCGTCCTTCCAGATTCAAAAGTAAGTACCTCTTTTGTTTTTGTTTTTCCTGCATTTGCAAATAAACATATTCAAGTGAGGTTCTTTGATTATTAGTGATTATTCATCTTATTATTTGTCCCTAAAATTTTGTTTACCGGAAGTTTTCCTGCTTGGGCTGGGGGTTGGACTAGAAGATCTTCACAATCCTTTCCAACTCTGTTATTCTGTATTCTCTTCTTCATAAGTTTGGATTGAAAAAGGAATTTTGTTTTTCAACATAATTTTGCCTGGGGAAAATGTAGGGGTTGAACAATTAAACCCAGAGTGGCAGCCCTGGGAGCTAAGGGACCACTAGAGGGCAACCAAGAGACACAAGAACATGTCTTTGCTACCCTCTATTGGTGGTCTAAATCTTTGCCAACCAGATCTTGTTAACTGTACTTAAATTATTATTCCCACCCAAAGAGCAGAACACAGGTAGTCCTTGATTTATTATGATAATTGGGGCCAGAATTTCCATTGTTTGGCAAGGCAAAGCAGTTGGTAAGAGAGTCAAGCCTAGTTTTAAGGTCTTTTTTGCCATGGTTATTAAGTGAATCATTGCAGCTGTTAAGTAAAATGTGGTCATCAAGCAAATCCAGCTTCCCCCGTTGACTTTGCTTGTTGGAAACCAGCTGAGAAAGTTGCAAACGGTGATCATTTGACCCCAGGAAGTTGCAGCCATTGTAAATACATATCCATTTCCAAACACCCTCCACATAACGGTTGATCACATAACCGTGGGGATGTTGCAATGGTTATAAGTGTCAGGACCAGTCATAAAACATCTTTTTTCAGTGCTGTTATAACTTTGAAAAGTTGCTAAATGGTAGTAAATGGAGGACTACCTGTAATGCAACTAGAATTGTTAGAGGAAAAGGCAGTCCTCTCTGTTATGACTAAGGCCAAAATATCCATAATTCTCTTCTTCCCCCATCAGGCCTAAAAAGCTTCTCTATTTTCATTATGTAGGACTAATTCAGAAGTTCATTTTTGCTTTGATTTTCTTCCAATCTTCATTAGCAATTTTCTTCTATGCCCAGGAAAGTGTAACTTGGGCTTGAAGGAATACACAATATACAAAAATTCAAAAAGAATAAAATTAAAATTAAAAAAAAGAACAAAATTAAAATGACAGCATATACTCCAACACTCCAGAAAAATCAGGAATGCTTGTTGGAGCCTGGCTGTGCAGCTTTTTTTTTTTTTTTACTAGTCTTCAGCATAGAAGTTGAGTGAGTAAACTTTCCATATGAGACAAACAACCAAAAGGATGGATGCCTGGTGAAATGGTGTCTACCTGAAGTGAACCTCAGCCTGTCCAATAATTTGGTTGGGAACCTGGAGGTACTTTCAGACCCAACTGTGGGGTGACACAATCCAGAGTCAACAATGGGCCTGGTAGATCTGATGGGGAACCTCCCTTTTGCTCCTGGGCATGATTCTTGCTTTGATGGGTGTCAGAATCCATCTCCATTTCCTTTCACTTTCTTGAAATTGACTTGAAAGACTTGGCATTGACTAATGCACTTAAAATTGTAAACAAAAAGTTCTGCTTTCATGCTTGCTGGGACAAATCCTCCAAGCCTCCTCTTGCAGAATATTCTTTTGAAAATATTCTAGTAATTAAATTCTGAGCAGTTAAAAAGAATATTATGTTGAACTGCCCAGAGTTCCTGGGAGTTGGGCAGCATATAAATTTAAATGATGCTGATGATACTGCTGCTGATGATACTGCTGCTGATGTTACTGCTGCTGCTGCTGGACGATGTCATTCTAAAGCAGCCTGTAAAGGTTTGGCCTCAGCACCCAGCTCTTTAACATTTATGCCACAGCTGCAGAACTCTACACTATCACTAGATGGCAGGCAATATATATAAAAGACTACACATAATTCTTTACTTTCCTCTAGGTCAGGAGTGTCAAACTCACAAAGTCACATGATGTGTTGTGACGTATCGCAACTTTTTTGCCATTGCCGGCAATGGGGTGGGCACGGGTTTGCTATGATGCATCCGGCCTGTGGGAGGCAATTTGACACCCCTGGTCTAGGTTAATAGATTAATGATTTTGCAGAAATTATGTAAATGGCTGAATATGCGGATGAAGGTTTGTTCTCCGAGCTTGTGGATTGGTTTCTGAACATTTCATTACCAGGCTAGGTAACATCTTCAGCAGCATTTAGGGGATCCTAAACGCTGCTGAAGATGTTACCTACCTTGGTAATGAAACGCTTGGAAACCAATCCAGAAGCTCGGAGAACAAACCTTCACCCTCATCCTATACCTAAGCTATAGATATTCACCACTATGGCTGAATATCTTTCTGACAATCCCCCAAGCTACTTCCTTCAACTCATTCCCAGAACATTCAGTCAGTCAATTTGTATGATCCCCTATTTCAAATTGACGTTGGGTAACTCATACTTATGCAGCAGATAGGTTTCACCAATTATTGCAATTCAGAGAGCTGAGCACTTTGCTGCCATTAGTTCTCAAAGCTGACATTCTTTTGCGAGGAACACATGGGAAAAGGTATTGATTGGACTGAATGTATCATTCCAGCCCATGAGCTGGCTGTATGGCAAGCTTGAATGGTGTGTCTCCCAGTCTGTGATATTTGAAGTTCACCCTGGAGAAAGGGCCAAAAGTGGATGGATATCCCTGTTGTAGGTGGGTGTAAACAGCAAAGTGTATGGGCAGACAATTTATGCTCACCTGATTTGCTTCTGGTTCTGTGCAAGATGAAAGCACAACATAAAGGTACTTGCACCAGGCATCAAAAAAGTCCAACCCGTATAAGGGGTCTTCAGTCACATGGTTGCAGCTATCATTTTGACTTTTCTGACTCCTATTGTGGTGAGTGGTCTTCTCCTATTTACTTCTGAATTAGTATGGAGAATTGTACCAATTGGTGGGGTTTTCTAAAAGCTACAGAATTAGGATACAATATCAGTTTAGTGATATCTCTTCTGACCAGCTGCTCTGGAAGCCATCTTAGATAGCTTTTCAAGACTTAGAACAGGGGTGTCAAGCTGACTTTTTCCCCATTGCCGGCAATGGGGTGGGCATAGTTTCAGCATGATGTATCCGGCCCGTGGGCTGGCAGTTTGACACACCTGACTTAGAAGATGATAATCCAGGCAGAAGCTGATTAATTGTTCCCCCTCCCCCTCCCTGGACTTTGAGCCAATAAAAAGGGTTTTGTTGTTTCAAGTCAAGGATGCAGCAGCAGGGAAATTGGAGATGATTGTTATAAAGAAATTTTTTTTGTCTCAAAGAGGGATCACCTGAGCACTGTTGCACATGTTAAAAATGATACTTATTGAACCATGCATCACTTCCTCTACATGAAAAGAGAAAAAAAACAGTGAATCTGTTGCACTCACTCACTTTCCTCATTTGCATTGGCTTCCCCACAAACCAAATACTTTTATTGATCCATGTTCAAACATATACATAGAATCATATAAAAATAGTTTGCTATACACAAAAGCAAGGCAAAGCAAAACTTTAAACAATAAGAAAATGCCTACCCACACAAACAAGCAGGCAAAAACTGTAATTAAAACTATATCCCAAATTCACCTGATTTTGTAAATCTTGAAAAAAAAAAAAAAACTCAGCAGGCTTAAGTCATTCTCAGCTGCGCTGATATTAGAATACAGGTAGTGCTCAACTTCCCCACAATTGAGACCAGAACTTCCACTGATGAGCAAGACGTTGTTAAGTGAGTCATGCCTGATTTTAAACCTGTTTGCTATGGTTATTAAGCAAATCACTGCAGCTGTTAAGTGAATCATGTCATTAAGCAAATCAGGCGTACCCCACTGATTTTCCTTCTGGGAAACTGGCTCAGGAGGTTGCAAACAGCAGTCATGTGACCCCAGGATGCTGCGGCTGTTGCAAATACATGCTGGCTGCCGAATGCCTAAATTTTGATCACATGACTGTGGTGATGTTGCAATGGTCATAAGTGAGATGACTGTGACTTTTTTCAGCGTCATTGTAACTTTGGTTGCTAAATGAATGATTGTAAGTCAAGGACTACCTGTAGTTTTTGTCCCTGATTCTGCCACTGCCCAAAGGCAGTTTCATGATGTGAAATTGTCAGCCTTGCCTTGGAAGGAAATCAGGAAAAAGAAGCATTTTTGAAGTATTGTGATGCTCTGGCTCTTCTCTTCATTGTGTAGTATGTATTCTACATCAGCACAAATATACCCCCCCCCAAACCTCACCTTTCTGCTGAACCCCATTCAAGCTTAGTCACTGCTGCCTGCCAGCCTAATCATCCCTTTTCACAGGTTATCAAGATGGGGAAAAAATAGCTGGAGACATGCAATTGAGGGATGCATGAAAAAATGGGTGGGGTTTTGATCTCATGCTTGTGTCCACCATTTTGACTTCTTTGACCTTATCTATGGACACAGCCCTTGCACCTTTGCTGAGACAATCCAAAGTTGAATGAGCCAGCTGATGTGACAAAATAAAGAGTAGTGGTAAATTTCAATTTCAGTTCTTGATTGATTGTTCACCCACAAATACAAATCGATTAGTTACAGTACAACTATCCAAATGTTGCCAGATCTATGACATAATTTGATTTAGACTTGGGTTGCCTTCTGTAGCTGCACAAAAGCTGATGTAATCCTGGGGTGCATAAACAGAGGGATAGTTTTAAGATCATGTGAAGTGTTAGTACCACTTTATACTGCAGTAGTTGAGATCACACTTGGAGTATTACGTCCAGTTCTGGTCATCATGATACAAAAAATGTTGAGATGCTAAAAAATAGTGCAGAGAAGAGCAACAAAAATGATTAGGGGACTGTAGGCTGAATCATATGACAAATGGTTGCAGGAACTGGGTATGTGTCAGCTCTGCCTGGCTCAGCATGGGGCCTCACAGGCATCCTTTCATCAAAAGAAGGGGGGGAGGATGAAAGGGCAATAATGCTTTGTGTGTACATGATAGGTAATCAAGAGGGGGGAAATGACAGATTATAAGGACCAGAGCAGCCAGTTCCTATTTGTACCAGCATCCCATGGCCAGACACCCTGAGAAATATGCAGATTACCCCCAAACGTCTCAGAGATCTTGGCGAGGTCTGGTTGGCTGGAAATGGACTGTTCACAGTGGGGGAAAGATGGGCTGGGGGCAAGCCTACACCTTATTTTTGTAACTAGCGAGTGCGGTAAATTTCAGAGCTGGCTTGACTTTACTGCAACCAACATCCTTAGTAAAAGAACCCTTTGCTTTACCCAAATGGAGTCAAAGGCTTTTCTTTCCTAAGGGACCAGATTGGGGCAGGTCTGACATTATGTCTAGTCCAACGAAGAGAAGGACTAGGGATGACATGATAGCAGTCTTCCAATTTTTGAGACAGTGTTACAAAGAGGGGGACAACCTATTCTCCAAAGGATCTGAAGGTAAGACAAGAAGTAAAAGATAGAAGATTATATAAGAGAGATCAACCTGGAAATAAGGAGAAATTTCCAGAGATTTGAGAACAATTAATCAGTGGAATGACTTGCCTCCAGAAGTTGTTGGTGCTACATCACTGCAGGTTTCAAGAAGAGACTGGTCAACCATTTGTCCAGAATGGTATAGGATCTTCTGCTTGAGCAAAGAGTTGGACTAGAAGCTCCCTTCCAACACTATTATTTTATGTTCTATGTTCCCTGATGCCAAATGTGTGTGGGTGTGCACATGACTTCAGGCGAAAGTAATAAAAATATGCACCGATTCCAAATGGAAAATCTGAGAATCGCTGCCCCCTTTTCTGAGTGTGATATTGTTTATTTATGGGATTTGTTTACCTCTCCAACCTTTCTGGACTCTGCTTTTTCCTCCCTTGTCAGTGTTTCCACACCTGGTGAAAAAGGTGAACATGATGCTTCATGTGACAATTATCCTCTCCTTGTCAGTGGCATTTTCTTTCGCTCTGGTCAGCTGCGGATTCTGCTTTTTGAACCTCCTAAAAGTCCCTTTTCGGGCCATTCAAGGACCTGCAGGAGTAGCTTTGTGGAACTTGGTGGCAGGTATAGTGAACTTTTCTTTCTTCATATCAACAATCCTGAAATTGTGGGAAGGTGTAAAGTGAGGGTCTGAGGTTTCCTTCCACGGTCCACAAATTCTGGCCATCAGGGATGTCCACAAGGTGTGGTCAGAAAAAGGCAGCCACAATACTGTATTTGAAAGTCTATGAAGATTCTCAGTCATCCAGGTCATGGTTGTCCCAAAGGTGCTTTTTCACAAGGCAACTGGACTTTCTTTTTTCTCTCTGAAGGCATTTCGCTTATCATCCAAGAAGCTTCTTCAGCTCTGATTGGATGGTGGGGAATGGAAGGATTTATATTCCTTGCAGACAGCTGGTCATTTGCATTCTTTTAGCAAGTCATTGATGCCACCTGGATGTTTATCTGTGCCATCAGGGTCACCTGAGTAGTGCAAATGAGTGTGGAACCTTCTTAGAACTGTTGAAAGGACTGTGTTGTAGACTGAAGATAGATGATGTCATATCCCTCCCCCTCTGTTGAGAGAGGGCTGTTCAATTTTGACATAGATGGCCTCTTTGACCCCTTTGACCTCTTTCAAACCAGTGGTCCTCTTGCAAAGTCCACATTTTGGACAGAGAGGACTTTAATAATCAATAATCAACTGCAGGTCCACTATAAGCTTCTCTCATTGAGGATTATATATTTAAAGGCCATGCTATCCATGAATTTAAATGTAATTTAACTACATTTTTAAGCATGACTGTTAGCATACATGTACACATTTTAGGACTTTGATTGTAAATAGCTGGGAGGTTTGGGTGATGCAAAAATGCTACTAAAGTAAAATAGGAACTGCTGAAAAATAATCACAAAGTATTTGATGTGGTGACACTGGATCCTCAGTAAAACCCACATGATGCAATTCACAAGATAACATTACTTTCTAGAGTGTAATTTGAGGTAGCGAACTGCAAAGTTCAACAGTTATAACACATTAAAATATTTCCTGTTAATAAATGATAAATGGAAAAGAATTTGATTACATTTGCCCTTTGAAATTACAGAGTCTGCTAGGAGGTATCTAAAAAGATAAAGGCTCTGTTCAGTCATGCTGAACTTCTGATGATTTCATGGTTATCTCTATTTCTGTTTTTTTCTTGACCACAGCATAATGTTTGGGGAAAAAACTAAAGCTAAAATATTTTTTAAAAGTGTATTTAATTTTCCAAACATTTTTCAATTATATATTTTAATTTTCAATGCAACCTACAATGTGGGAAGTCCTAATCAGGCACAGCTCCATGCAGCTTTGGGAGGATCAGCCAAGCTTAGCATAATGCTTTACTGCAATCAAGAAGCCCAGTTCCATTCAAGTGTTTTAAAGTGATATGGAGCTGGTTTGTTTTTTTCAGCTGAGATTTCTGTATAGTTGAATGAACTTAAATTTGCTTTCATTTAGGTAAGGGCTGAATAGGCAAGCAGAAGCATAACATACCACTGATCCTCACACTTATGACCATCACAGCATCCCCACAGTCATGTGATTAAATTTCAAGCACTTGTAACTGGCATGTATTTACGATGGTTGCAGTATCTCGGGATCACATGATTGCCCTTAGTGACCTTCTCAGGGGACTTCTGACAAGTGAAGTCAATCCATGTTAAGCATGGATTTGCTTAACAACCATAGTGACTACCTTAACAACCATAAAATCAGGTGTGACTTATTTAATGAATGCATTGCTTAGCAACTGAAGTTTTGATCCCAATTGTACATACATTGTACATCAAGGACTATCTGTAAGGAAAATAGAAGCAACTTACAGCTGAATATCTGCATCTAAGGTGCAACCGGCTGGTTTGTGCCTCTCCAGTGACATAAAATTTTTGAGTTTCATGTCTTTTTGGAAGGAAACAAATGCGCCACTGGAGAAATTTGGAAGGCTTTTTTGGACATTAAAAGCAAAATGAGCCTCTAGTCCCAGAGACATTTATATAGAATATAGAATTCGCTAGTATTTATTATTTAGGCTCAAAGCTTGGGCAACAAACAGGGTGAACTAGAAGCAATAGTACATGAGGGTAGGTAAGACATAGTTGCCATTATAGAAACCTGGTGGGATGAAACTCATTACTAGAATGTACTGATGGATGGATACAAATTGTTCAAAAGAAACAGATCTACAAAAAGAGGAGGTGGAGTTGCACTATATGTAAGACAACATTACATAGATACAGAAATGCACATGATCAAAACTAAAACTCCTCCAGACTTTGTATGGGTCAATATAAAAGGAAAAAGAAGTGATATTGCAATAGTGTATATTACAGGCCACCAAATCAACCAGAAGAAATAGATGAACTCTTTGCCAACCTGTTAACAAATGTTATGTATGTATGTAGGAAGCATACCACAGTAGTAATGGGAGACTTCAACTATCCAGATATCAACTGGGAGACAAACTCTGTAGCGAATGGAGATCAAACAGATTCCTAATCAACCTAGCTGACAACTTTGTCATCCACAAGGTAGAGGAGGGAACTAAAAGTAAAACTATACTGGACCTAATTCTTACTAATAAGAAGTGATAGAGGGAGTTGAAGTTGCCAGAACTGTGGGTGAAAGTGACCATGTCATATTGGAATTCAATATAATGCAAACTCAAGCAATAGAAAATAATCCAACCAGTATCTTAAACTTTAAAAGAGCTGATTTTAACAAACTCAGAATCTAGGAAACATTCTATGGATGAAAATCCTAAAGGGGAAAACAACTCAAGAAGTGTGGGAAACTCTGAAAAATGTGATCATAAAAGCCCAGTCCAGCACAATACCACTTAAAAAGAAAAACAAGAAATCCAAGAAGAAACCAGCATGGCTGCACAAAGATCTCTCTGACAAACTGAAAGACAAAAGGACAAGTACAAAAAATGGAAAAAGGGACACATAAACAAAGGCTGATTATCAGCAGACAGCCAGAACATGCAAAAATGAAGTCAGGAAAGTAAAGGCTCAGAATAAACGACAACTTGCAACAGAAGTCAAAGATAATAATAAAAACATATCAATAACAAAAAAAGTCAAGGAAACAGTAGGTCCACTAAAGGGAGAAGATGGCAAGGAAATAACAGACAGTAGAGAGCAAACAGAGCTGCTTAACTCATTCTTTGCATCAGTCTTCATGCAAAAATAAATTATAGCCCAACCTACCAAAAACCTAATTGTAAAAGACAGACTAGAAATAAAAATTAAAATAAGCAAGAAAATGGTTAGAGAACACCTATCTGATCTTGATGAATATAAATCACCGGGACCTTACAGATTACATCCCAGAGTTCTGAAGGAGCTGGCAGATGTTATCTCAGAACCATTGTACCATATCTTTCAAAAATCCTGGACCACTGGGGAAGTACCTGAGGATTTGAAAAGGGCTGATATGGTTCCCATCTTCAAGAAAGGAAAAAAAAAACAGACCCAATTACAGATTACAAACTACAGAGCAATCAGTCTAACATCAAAACCTGGGAAGATCCTGGAAAAGATAATCAAAAAACAGATTTGTGAACAACTAGAAGAAAACAAAGTTATAACTAATAGCCAGCACGGGTTTGTTAAAAACAGATCATGCCAAACCAATATTATTTCCTTCTTTGATAAAGTGACTAAATTAATAGACCAGCAAAATGCTGTGGACATAGTATACTTAGATTTTAGTAAGGCATTTGACAAAGCAGACCACAACCTGCTGCTTAGTAAGCCAGAAAATGGTGGGATAGACAATATTACCACCAGATGGATCTGTAGTTGGCTGACAAACCATGACTACTACCATTGAGGACTACTTGCTGACTACTACTCAGCAACTAGTCCTCAATGGTAGTATATCTACGTGGAGAGAAGTAAGCAGTGGGGTACTACAAGGCTCCGTCTTAGGCCCAGTATGCTTCAATGTCTTCATCAATGACTTAGATAAAGGGGAACTTATCAAATTTTCAGATGACACCAAACTGGCAGGAATAGCCAACACCCCAGAAGTCAAGCTCAGGATCCAAAAAGTTCTTCACAAACTTGAACAATGGGCCCTATCCAACAAAATGAATTTTAATGTGTAGAAAAGCAAAGTTTTACATTTAGGCAGGAAAAATCAAAGGTATAAGTACAGATTAGGCGAGACCTGGCTCAAAAACAGCAACTGTGAGAGGGACCTTGGAGTCCTAGGGGATGATCACTTGAATATGAGTCAGAAGTGTGCAGCAGCAGCCAAAAAAGCTAATACAATCCTGGGTTGTATAAATAGAGGCATAGAATCAAGATCACATGAAGTATTAGTATCGCTTTATAAAACCCTAGTAAGTCCACACCTGGAATATTACAACCAATTTTGATCACCATACTACAAAAAATGAATTGAAAAAAGTTGAAAGAAAAGCAACTAAGGTAATGCAAGGCCTGGAGACTAAAACATATGAAGAACAGGGCTAGGGTTTGGCTAGTCTAAAGAAAAAAAGAAATAGGGGTGACATGATAGCAGTATTCCAATATTTGAGGGGCTGCCACAAAGAAGAGGGGGTCAAATTATTCTCTAATACACCAGAGGGCAGGACAAGAAACAATGGTTGGAAACTAATCAAAGAGAGAAACAACCTGGAATTAAGAAGAAACTTTCCAGTAGTGAGGACAATTAACCAGTGGAACAGCTTGCCTTCAAAAATTGTGAGTGCTCCATCACTGGAAGTTTTTAAGAAGAGATTAGACCAGTGATGGTGAACCTTTTAGAGACCGAGTGCCCAAACTGCAACCCAAAACCTACTTATTTATCCCAAAGTGCCAACACCGCAATTTAACCTAAATACTGAAGTTTTAGTTTAGAAAAAACAACTCATATATTAATATCTATTGTCTTAAAAGAAAAACACAATAACAAGGCTTTCAATGATACAAACAACTTTTTATTGAAAGGTAAAAGTTTGCATTTGGCATGCTTTTGAACAATTAATGTGATTTTTGCTGTTCTATGCATGCTGATCATTTGTCTAACCTTG